GATCAGCTTTAAGACCCTTATCAGACCCTTATTAGACTGCATGTAGAACACTTTACAACTCCTCCCCTTGATTTCTTTGTTCTGCTTTCCCTCTCCCTCCTTATAAAAACCTCAGTCTGCACTGAGGTATTGAGAGGGGCTTTTCAACAAGAGTGCCCCTTCTTCTCAGGTGTCTCACAGGTGAATAAACCACTTTCCCTTTTCTCCAGCACCTGTCTTATGAGTCCAGCTTTTGTAGAGGCAGGCAGTTGAACCTTGGTTTCAGTTACAGTTCCAAAAAATACAAGAAGAGATTGAAACACTACCTTCCATTTTTGGTGCATTTTTAAAACTGATGAAACCTTAAGAACACTTTGTTTTTACATTGGCTTTTTTGGTAAATAGTTTAACACATTGATAATGTGGTTGTATTAATGAAATAATCATGTTGGGATTCATATCTCTTGATTTGAAGGTGATATCACATTTTATCACATAAATAAATAGACTTAGTCCTGGCCTGTTTGGCTCAGGGGATAGAATGTTGGCCTGTGGACTGAAGGGTCCCAGGTTTGATTCTGGTCAAGAGCATGCACCTCATTTGCAGGCTCAATCCCTGGCACATTTGGGAGGCAACCAATCGATGTATTTCCCTCACATCAATGTTTCTCTCTCTGTCTCTTCAACACTCTAAAAATCAATGGAAAAATATTCTTGAGTAAATATTAACAACAACAATAACAACAAAAGAAATAGACTTAGACATAGTTATAATAGAAATAAAAATTGGTTGAGTTACAAGTATATTTGGTTTTCTGTTAAAAAGTAGGCACTATTTTTAACTTTTTGAGGAACCTCCATACTGTTTGAAATCAGAAACACCAATCAAAAAGAATATATGCATCCCTATGTTCATATCAGTGCAATTTACAATAGCTAAGTTTTTGGAAACAAATTAAGTGCCCATCAGCAGATGAGTGGATTAACAAACTGTGGAACATGTACACAATAGTAAAAAAGAAATAACTTACTATTTTCATTAGCATGGAGTGACCAGGAGAGCAGAGAAAGCCAGTCAGAGAAAGATAAGTATCACATGATCTCACTCATATGTGAAATATAATGAATGGCATAAACTGATGAACGAAAATAGATCCAGAGACATAGAAGCATTGAACAGACCATCAAACTTCAGAGGGAAGGCAGAGGAGGGTAGGCGGAGGGTAAGAGATCAAAGAACTTGTATGCACAGAAGCATAACCAATGGGCACAGACAATGGGTGAAGGCCTGGGCTGGGGGGTGGGGTAGGCTGGGAGAGGTCAATGGGGGTGAGGGGAAGGAAGACTTTCAACAATTAATAATTAAAAAAAAAAGTAAGCACTAATGGTTAAATGCTACAACATCTCTACTTTTAAGTACTTTGTACCTGGCTACAACCCAGAGGTCTTCCCCTGCGCCCCCCCCCCCCCCCCCCGTAGCGGCCCCCCCCCCCGCCATTGTGCTCTTTACTTATTTATTTTTGAAAATTTGGGCCAAATCTGTTCCATTTTTTCTTTTCTTTTTAGAGAAACAACTATGTATACCTTTCCCAGTATTAAACATACACATGTACTCACATGCATGGTAATTCCCAGACTTGCTTTTCTGACAAATAAATCAGTGCTAGTAGATCTTTAAAATGTCAAACTTCTCTTTTAGCGTGAGACCTGGCCACATGTTTCATTGACAGCACCCCAAATCTCACTGATTGGCATGCTTCCCATGTGTCAGATTGTAAAATGTGCTACCCTGTCCCTGCGGTTATTACAACTCCCCCACCCCCTCCAATCCCCGGGTCCTGGCTTCCGGGGAGATTTACTGCTCTCCCAGACCCTGGCCTCCCAGGGAGGTTAAAGAGCTCCATGTTAGTTTGCTTTCCTTCCACTCTTTGAATGCCAAGGTATAGTATCTCCCCCACACGTATCCTCAGGAAATGCATTCTAAGATTCACCCTAGCGGATGCCTGAAAGCACAGATAGTACTGAATTCTATATACTAGTATGCTATGTGTCTTCCTATACATACATAACTTTTCACTTAAATGAAACACTTGTTGGCTTCTCCCTGGCATACCCAAATTGTTAGCATCACAATTCTTACACGTTGGGGCCATGATTAAGTAAAATAAGGGTTACTTGACCACAAGCACTACAATATCATGACAGTCAATCTGATAAGCAAGGTGGCTACTAAGTGGCCTGTGGTTGGGGAGTGTCTACAGTGTGGAGGTGCTGTATGAAAGGGTGACTCACATCTTGGGGGGGGGGTAGAGGGGGCAGGATGGCATAAGATTTCATCACAAGACTCAGAACAACACCCAATTTAAAACTTGAGAATTTTTATTTCTGGAATTTTCCATTTAATATTTTCAGACCACGGTTTACTGAAGCCACAGAAAGTGAAACTGCGGATAAGGGTGAAACTACTGTACCATCAAACCCTTTTCTAAGCACTCTTGAAAGGGTACACAGCTGCTTTATGTCACTTCTCCTCACCACCCACAGGTACGCACAAAGGGTTAGCCCAGAATAACTCACTAACTGTAAAAGTATTTGTTCTTACTATTATGACTTAAAAGGATATTTTTATAGACCTAATAGCACAAGGAACTGATGTTGGTACCTGACAGTCTTGGGTCCAAATTGTACCATCTACTTGCTCTATGAATATGCATATTATTGTACCTCTGTGAACTATAATGCCCTCATCTGTAAAGTGGAAAGTGACACTATTAAGAATACAGTATAGGCTTGTGTAAGTCAAGAACAAATACATTTTTTTAAAAATGTATTTTTATTGATTTCAGTGAGAAAGGGAGAGGGAGAGATAGAAACATCAATGATGAGGATTGAGCGACAATCTGGGCATATGCCCCCAATTGGAATCAAACCTGGGACCTTTCAGTCTGCAAGCTGACGCTCTATCTACTGAGCTAAACCAGCTACGGCAAGAACAAGCATATTTTTGAAGAAAGGAACAAGTTTATGTATTCAACTATGTAGCAATAAGTAGAATTTTCTTTTCCTACCGACCTTAGTTTAAATAAAAAGATAAGGGTCATGGCAGAAGTACCACAGAACAAGGGATACCCTGGTCATGTGCTGCCACACACAAACTGAAGCATTGTTTAATATATTGTTACTCTGCCCAGGGAGACGGTGCCTGGGCCACGAGCATATCTAGGACTCTGCTATTACTTTCTATCTACTTAGATGTTCCATTTCTGAGGCTTGCATGTCATAAATGAATTTTTAAATTTCAACATACCAGTGTCAGAAAAGGATAACTATGAGTTTATTTCCGAGCCTCTATGTCCTGCACAGCTCTGAACATCCCATGCCAATGCTGCATGTGAATTACTCACTGAAATTTACTACAGGGAATATCACATTTATTAACAATAAAAACTTGACTAGAGAAGCAGACTCTATGTCTCGCACAAATGGATTTTTGAATTTAGAAAAAAGCCTTCTACCATCTCCTCTTAAACCCTTGTCTGGGAAAGGACTATCCAATTAGGACAGTGGTCAGCAAACTCATTAGTCAACAGAGCTAAATAGCAACAGTACAACAACCGAAATTTCTTTTGATAGCCAAATTTTTTTAAACTTAAACTTCTTCTAACGCCACTTCTTCAAAATAGACTCGCCAAGGCCGTGGTATTTTGTGGAAGAGCCACGCTCCAGGGGCCAAAGAGCTACAAGTGGCTCGCGAACCACAGTTTGCCCACCACTGAGTTAGGAAATTATCCAGACCTGGCGATATGCCAGGTAACAATATAGCTTATTAGTTTTTACTACTTTTATAGGGACAAGATAAGCATAGACAAATAAAATTCAAATCTGTCTACCACGTGGGTTTTGATGTGAGAGAGATGAAAGAGTCAGCTTTTCCGTGGGCTCAGAGCGTTTCTGTGGGCAGGCCCCCAAATCTGTTCCGCCAGACTGACCACTGCTCTGAGTTGCATCTTATGCTTCCAGAGTCACTGAGGCTCCCACACTCAGATTCAACAAGTCCATCAACGGGCTCACTGTTTACCGCCCGTCCTGCTCTTTCTGCCCACTCCTCACTGTTTGTGAGTCTTCAGACCCCCCTGGGGCTCTCTTCCACATTCATTCTATACCTTGTACTCTTGCTGAGGGCAAACTGTAAGTTCCAGCATTAAAAACTTGGCCAGTCTTCCTCACACACACACAGGGTCACGAAGATTTGGTACCAGGACCTTTCACATGCCCGGCGGGCCCTAGAAAGTTCGAAATAAAATCTCGAGTCTTCCTTTATTTCTTAGTTTCCTCTGCAGTGAGCTGAGGTGGAGTTGGGTGAGAAGATGGTTGGATTTAGATGTTCTCAGTCACAGGCCGGCGGGGCGGGAGGGGGAGGAGGGTGAGGGGGACGTATCCACCCTAAGGGTCTTCAGGTTGCAGGGATGATGCAAAGAGGGCGCTTTATCTTGCCTCGTGGTGGGGCACCTTTCCACCTTCTTCCATTTGGGGACAAGCTGGAGAAACCCCTCGCCCTGCGCGTGGAGCATTCCTTCCGAAAGCAAAGGCTCACACTGACACGTCCAAGACTCAGATCGTCCTCGAGATGCAGTTGTAATAGAAAACCAGGAGCCCAAACAGGCGCCTGGCGCCGGCTGCCAGCGGGGGCTGCGAAGGCCCCAGAGTCCCAGGCTCCCGCGCGCAGCCCGCGGACCCGCCGCTAGGGGGCGCCGCGAGCGCGCCCGCCCCGCCCGCCCGCCCGCCCGCGGCCGCGGAGGGCAGGAGGCGCTGGGCCGGCCCCCCAGCCGCCGCCTGCGGGCCGGGAGCCGAGGGAGCAGATCGTGGGGGACGCGCGGCGGAGCGCAGGGGCTGTCACCGCTGACGCTCACCCGCGCGCACCGAGCCGGGACGCGGGCATCTGGGGGCCGCCAGCCGCCACCCCGCAGTCTCCCACCTGGGTCCCCTCCCCGGTGCGGTGAGCGGCCGCCGGGGCGGAGGCGATGTCTGCCGGGCGCCGCCGCGGTCCCCGGGGCAGCCGGGCGCAGCCGCTCGCGCCCCGCTGCTGCTGCCTCTGGGCCGCGCTGGGGATGCTGTGGTCCCCCGGCTCCCAGGCGTTCAACTTGGACGAGGACAAGGTCACGGTGTACAGCGGCCCGGAGGGCAGCTACTTCGGCTACGCGGTGGACTTCCACCTCCCCGCCGCTCGCACGTAAGTCGCCGGGGCCGGGAGATCGCGCGCGGGTCCGGGGGCCGCGCCTGTCCCGCAGCCCGAGGGGAGGTCCCTCCCGGTGTCCGCGGCGTCCCGTCCCGCCACCAGCCTCTTCTCCGCGCGGGGCGCTCTGAACTGAGACCTGCCCTGGCAGAGCCACGCCGGGCTTGGGCACTTGCAGGTACAAAGGCGCGCGTGGCGCGGCGCGGGCAGCGGGTCGCAGACGCGGGCCAGCTAGACCCCGGCCACCGGCCACCGCACCGTCTGGTGACGCGGAGCCTCCGGCAGCTCAGTGTCTGGGCGCAAGTGCCGTCTGCTCGCCGCCAGCCGCTGGCCCCCGGGCTCTGCTCTTTTAACCGCCCGCTTCCCGCGCCTCCCTGTCCACACAGCTCCACCTGGAGCAGCACTGGGACTGTTCGCAGCCTCTTGCAGACCCGCAGGTTCAGGAGCCCGCAGGGTCCCAAGGGGAGCGAAAGTGTGGCCCTGGGCTCCCTCCTGAACACGTTTCTGCCGCCATCCCCACCGCGGCAGCCTCGGTGGGCGTGTGGCCAGAGCCGCAGCTCCTGGGTTCCACAGAGCATATTTCTGCGCCCCTTTTCGCAGAGCCAGCGTCTTGGTGGGAGCGCCCAAAGCCAACACCAGCCAGCCAGACATCGTGGAGGGGGGAGCCGTCTATTACTGCCCTTGGCCCGCCGAGGGGGCTGCGCCCTGCAAGCAGATACCTTTTGACACCACCAGTAAGTGATACTTGTCATTCTCCACGGTGGGCCCTGGTTTCCAAGAACCAGAGCCATCCTAGCGTCAATCCCCGGTCTTCTTCCTACTCATTTGGGCCCTCTGATGGGTCTGTGTTGTGGGCTGTGCAGGTTTCTAGGGAAATCAGCTTTTTAAAGCGTGAGCAGGAGGAAACTGCCAGTGACTCCCAGAAAGGGAGCATTATTTTGACCTGGAGTATTTGTATACATCCTCATAACTTCTGTTTTCTCCCCACCCGGAGTTGAGCATTTTCAGGGTGAGTGGATGCTTTGGAGAAGTACAGATAGTTACATCCTAACCTTGATTATGGAGAGAATTTCGTTGCTTCCCAAAGACAGATCTGGGAAAAGACAACCCTTAGCATTTCCAGTACCCAAACTCCTGAGGCAAGACTCAGACATTGCTCCATGTTGCTGTTTAATTCTTTACAGAAAGAAAGAATTTTTTTTTCAAAATATTGGACATTGGAGGCAAACTAGTACAGGCAGAGTGTGGATGGATTACATTCATTTCCAAAATCCCTAGACAGATGTTTCTTATTTAATTAAAGGGAAAATACATTTTAAACAATTCAGGCTGGTTATGTTTCCTCTGGTGTTTTCTCTTTGGTTCCTGAGAAAACAATTTAAATGTAATAGTTTCAAGAACTTTAACACTGCATGTTCTAATTTGTACCTCCAAAACTTTATGAATTCAAAAGATAAATAAGAAAGCAAATATCTTTTCAGAAAAATATGTGAATAGGTCAACTCAGTGTTTTTCAATGAACAATCATTTAAAATACCTTTTGCATCACACAACTATTTTATAACATCATTATTGTTATATTAGGTTGAAAATCCATTTCCACAGAATTTTGGTAAAATTGAATGGGTGGTATTTACCTGCTACCTTAATTAATTTGCATTGTTTATTTTAAAGGAGAAAATAGTTGCAATTCTATGAATGTGGATATCATTTCAAAGGAAAGAAATACTATACAAGAATTACCTTGAGTTATGACCAAGTTAGGAAAATATTTACATTTGTAATGAAACAGTAGGGGACAAACTAGTACAATTGTGGCCATTAAATAAATAGGAAAATAATAAATAAATAGGAAAACAATAAAATGTCAAGAAAAGTTCACTGTTAATTAGAGAAAGAGCAGAGGGTAGATAGCATATTTTGTCCAGATTCTGAAAAAACCCTCTTAATTCTCAAAAGACTTTTGAGATGTCTGATTTTACTTTTAAATGTAGAAGTTTTTCTTGATAGCCATATGCACTCATCCTATTATTCTTAGCAACCATAACCACAGTAACTTGAGGATTCATAAATAGAAGAAAAGGGGGGGGGGACCAGGAAGGGAGGTAGATGTTTCTAAAATAATTGAGCAAAAAAGAAAAATTGCAAGTAGAGGCCACAGAACGTTTCTGAGAAGTGAATGGCTCTTGATGGAATGAACATAGCCTGGGGGCGTCTCACTAAAAGATAAGTTAGAGAAGAAAGTTCCCGTGTCAGCCATCAGGGGGTACTGTGGGCCCAGGAACCTCGGTTGCTGTTGGGAATGCCTGAGAACAGAACAGGTCGGGGAAAGGAGTCAGAGGCTCAGGTGTTTACTACTGAGCGGCTGCCGCACTCCACACATCTTTCCTACCACTTTATCCATGCATCCCCCAGAGGATGGGAGTGCCAGCGGCTGTCATTGCTGTGAAGCTGTGAAAAAGAGCAAGGGACAGTAGGAGCCAGTAGAGCTATTTCCAGCTTTAGCATCTGTTCTCTGTGTTGGGTATGACCTTGGAACCAAATGTAAAAAGGCAGAAGAAAGACATTGCTGGGTCTTGTAGTCAACGTTATCAGACGCATTACGTTTATCGACCACCTGCTAGTAACAGTCACTTACGTATGTTATTTCTAATGCATAAAAGAAAACAGCCATGTGAAATTCACTGTATGCATGAGGAAACCCACACAAAAAGTGTTAAAATACATGTATGTTGAAGACCACACAATGGTGAGAGTGGAGGCAGGGTTGGGAAAGAGGTCTGTGCTCCAAAACTTGCCTGTGCAGCCTGCCTCCCTTCCTCATGGAACTGCACCTGAGGCACCGCTCACCTTCCCTCCCCCTCCCCTACCCCATCACCCCAACCTTAGCCTCACAAATATGTATTTAAATCCTATAGAGAAGATCTGAAAGGGAATGAACTTTGGTGGAGGGCTGTGGGAACCAGAGTGTGGAAGCAGCCTTTGTCTCGGTGGGAATAATGGGTTGCATATGCCTCTGGTTTGCTGCAGCTCCCGCCAGCCTGCAGCCCTGTCAGTGTTCCCCTCATCCTCCTCCTGTCTTCCCTTTGCCCTCCGGCAGCAACAGTTTCCCCACAATGAGGAAGCAAAGCTCTGCTTGACCAAGTTCTGAGTGCTGGACACCCACAAACTCACATTCATGGAATAGTGTGATGTTTTAGGTATATATACATATATATTATATATATACACATACAAAATATATATACATATACAACACACACATATGAATACACACACACACACACACACATATTCCTCTGTAAAGATAGTCATTACTTTCCCCTGTCTGCTTTTACTATTACATCTGAATTCAGGACATTCTATACTAATTTGACTTTTTAATGACATTGTTTCAACCTGTTCAGGGCCCCCTTGGGTGTCAACAATTTAGTGTTTGCTGTGGTAACCTACTAAATTCTCTCAGCCTAGACACTAAAGGAGACTGGTCTATATTTAGCATCTGAATCTGGTTGTGATCTTGAACCTCAGTTTATTTAAGGTCAGATGATTTTTAAAAAAACTATCTTTTTTATTAAAAATCACTTTTTTATGTTATCATATAACTTGGATTTTTTTTTATTTTATTATTTCTCATCATAAATGCAACAACAGAGGAAGCTGGGAATAGCCTAGCACTTCAAATGCATGAATACTATTAAAGTCTGTGGTCCTTTCAAGTATGGTAAAGGAAACTCTAGGGAAGCATATGGCGGTGGGGGAGGTGCAAAGTGCAAAGAGTAGACAATTTTCCTGCTCTGTACAAAATCAAGTGGCTCCAAAAAAGCACTTCTCTCATCTCCCTTCTCTCTTCCCCTCTTACTTCACTAGAATAAAATTCCCCCCATCACCAAGCTGATTTCTTTCACTTTTGCCTCAGGAACTCTCTAAACCATGCCCTGTCCTAACTTAAATCATCACATCTGCCAAATTCATGCCTCTCGTTTCTAAGTCTACTCCGAGGTTCATCTCTTCATTTTCCAAACCCATGTGTGGATTAAACAAACACTGAGATTACAGCCCTCCGGCTAAAGGGGGGTGGAGAAGCAGAACCACAGACACTTTATCTGAGGAAGGAGGAAAGGGCAAATTGCAACAACAGTAACAAAACATAGTACACAGATACCTACCTGGCTGTTTTAAATGCTCAAATGAAACATTTTGAAGAGAAAGATGAGGCGTGTGCTCATTAATGATGATAATCATCACAGCCCTAACAATGGGGAGGCAGTTCAGCTGGGAACCACTCACACGGGGCCCCACATAGGAGTGAACAGGAAGAGGTGGAGGTGCCACTGAGATTGGGAAGCCACTTGGGAAAGACTACTAGGATTGGCTGGCCTTAATGTAGGGTTAAAATAAAATTACAATAAATCACACCATCTTAAAATTTGGTTAAGATATTCAAAGCTCTGGAATGGTAAGATTTTTGTGAGAATTGTTGTCGGGCCTGGAGGCCGGAAGCCTTTGCTTTGGGGAGATCTGTTTTATTTTGTGTTGAGCGAGCCCACAATAAGGCGCAGCGCAGAGCATCTGGCGCTGGGACTGGTGTAGGGTGTTTTTTGATAGTCTTGGGTGTGCCCTTTTTCTCATGTGAGGGTTGGGAAACATATTGGGCACATAAGTCTAGCTTTTCCAACTTCCTCAGAAAGAAATCAGCTTTTGTTCAGGAACAAAGAAAAGAAAAATGTAGGTCAGAGCAAGTCAAGTAAATGGCAGAGCAAATAAAATAAATGTGACAGAGCTCAGTGAGAACAGAAATCTGGGCTCTGGAAAATTCAATTGAAAATGGAGAGAGGAAGAAAGAGGGAGGGAGAGAGAGAGAGAGGGAGGGAGAAAGAGAGAGAGAGAGAGAGAGAGAGAGAGAGAGAGAGAGAGAGAGAGAGAGAGGCGGAGAAATAACCTGCTCCTTTTATGATTGAATAAACCCATGTATTAGGGCAGGAAGCTTACTCTGTAAGGACTGATCCCATTGAGTCATCAGGGGGGGTTAGCAGGATGGCTTACCATTCTAGAAACAATTCAGGATGGCAACCACCCCTGATAAGCTGTCCTGACAGATGCAGCCCACATCCCCAAACTTCTCCCAGTTGGCTCAGAGTTCCCACGTGACAGAACGAAGTCAAGTCCAGATCTGAAAAGGGAGGAGGCGGTGGTCCCTACATCACATAGCAACCGAGGAAGCAATTAGAAAAAGGAAGTCCTTGAAACTCCAACTAGAAATGGGAAACAGATCTGCTCTACGGCTGGTTGAATTGTATGAGCGCTAGGCGCCTGTTGCTTAATTTGCAAAATTCTTTCAAGAAGTTGGAAGTCTGTGTGACGGAACAGGCTTCCAGGCTTTTGGCAGGAATGGTCAGTGCTGCTTTCTGGGAGAAATGTAGGAAACTGTCTTGGAATTATTCTGAAAGCAGAAAAACGCACTTTGCCATGTAAGCTGGCTGGTTGAGGTGTGTGCACTCAGACTTCACCTGTGCTGTGTAAAGAACCCTGCAGCTGGTTGTGTGGAGGAGAGTTTGCCAGCACCTCTAAAAGCTCAGTGTGCCCGGATGGTCACCATCCAGATACGCAAACGTGGATGTTTAAGGAGGGGAGTTGAAAGAATAATTATTGGTCTTATTAAAAGCACTCTCTTAAAAAATTAATTTTCCAAATTCAGTTTAAATACACCTTTACAAAACCATATTTAGTGCCT